GAGGAGAATGGAATCTGGGATGCCGACCTAGTGATTGCCAAGTGTGAAGGGGCTGACACCTGCTTTGTATCCAGCCTTCTCCTACTGGGATGTGTACTTTGTGGACTAGTTTAAGAGACTTTCACATCCCTCAGGTGCCTCTCTCATCTTTCAGTCTTGTGTTCCCATCTGCTCTGCATCCCCTGGACTTCTTTGTTGGCATTCCTGGGCTTCTCTATTATTATTCCCATCCTCCAGGTTTTCTCCATCATCATCCCTGCCCCCACTATCTCATCTGTTACCTCCTGTTCCCATTCTTGACCTCCCTTCCCAGGCCTCTATGTCATGCCGTTTCAGGGCATGGTAGAAGGCCCGACTATATGAGTCACCGTCTGAATCAGGGATTCAGGAGTATGGGCCATACCTCAGTTTATCTATGAGCAGCAGATGGACTCTATAGGCCTGACCTCCCCTTGAGTGGTAAACTACAGCTTGGCCTCTCATCTCTTTTCGATCCATACCTACCTTCCCATTCTTGCCCAGGGTCTTGTTCTGCCTACCCACCACCCCTACGGTGAACACACTGCCAGGTTCACTGTCAGACCTCTCCCCTGAGGGATGCCCAACAGTTGGGATGCCTGCCATATCCCTTCTGTAACCTTCCCCTGCAGAGCCACTCAGCCCAGCCACCCACCTCTGAGCAGAGCGAGCCAAGCTAGGCTTCGCCTCGGCCTCCCAGCCCTTTCCTGTAAATGCACTCACAGCCAGGAGGGGTGCCATATTAAATCAAGACTGATGGAAACCAGTGACTGCGATTATCCAGCCAAGATGCAGCATGGGAAGCTGGTTGCTGCCGGCTCCAGGTGAGGGCTTCTGAAGCTAATTGTGTGTGGCTTTTATTAAGAAGATGCTCACTCCCCCACTCCTGCTTTCCTGGGCGGCTCTTTTACAATGCCTCTCTCAGCTCAGGCCCTCTGCTTCTGCAGGCTGAATTCCTGCCTTAGCTTCTCCTCTAGTGGATCCCTATCCAAGCAGAGCCTTGAACTCGGTCTTATAGCCTTACTCCCCATCTCCTCAAAGAGACAGGAACAATAGTATTTATAGAGCCCTTACCAAGCTCCTTCTCCCATCCTTCTATCTCTTCTCCTCCAAATAGAATATATACATATCAAGTATTTTCCTTCTCTAGTTTACTCCACTGGCTAACCTTCACAAGGCTGGGCACATGGATCATGTCTTTAAAAGTCATTTATTCATTTAATATGTTGTTTAGCACAAACTCTGTGCTAAACACTGTGAAAAGTGCATGAAGCATAATTTTCACAGCAGGCATCAATCCAGTGTCCTATACATTTTTATCAAGAAGTCTGATCCATTTTCCAAGGTTTTTCTGAATTGGCATAGACATTTGGGATTGCAGGCTGGGAAGAATTGGAATGTGCTGCGATTTAGGCCATAGTTTGAACCTTTCCCAAGATCATCCAGAAAGCTCCTGGAAAACTAACCAGTTCATGGTGTAACACCCTACCCCAACTGTCACATCCATAGAAGTCAAGGACTCTTTTTCTTTGCCTAGTAAATATTTCCTCTTTTTTTTTTTTTTTTTTTGAAACAGAGTCTCCCTGTGTCACCCAGGCTGGAATGCAGTGGCATAATTCCGGCTCACTGCAACCTCCGCCTCCTGGGTTCAAGTAGTTCTGCCTCAGCCTCCCAAGTAGCTGGGATTACAAGCGCCCACCACCACACCAGGCTAATTTTTGTATTTCTAGTATAGACAGGGTTTCACAATGTTAGTCAGGGTGGTCCCAAACTCCTGACCTCAGTTGATCTGCCTGCCTCAGCCTCCCAAAGTGCTAGGATTACAGGTGTGAGCCACTGCACCCGGCCTTGCCCAGTAAAGAAACAGAAATAACAAACAACCTAAAACCATGACACTGAAGAAGAGTTACAGGAAGAAGTATTTCCCTAGAGAAGACTTAGGGAGGCCATAATGGTCATACCCGAATCAACAAAGTGGAAAGAAAAGTTATGTTAGACTTTGCCTGTGGCAAAGGGAAAAGATATGTTCTGTGAGGCCCCACAGACCAATGGATGGAAAGTACCCAAAGGTGGAATTCTCTCTCATGTGAGGGAGACTGACAGTAGAGATGAGCCACCTCAGGCAGTGGATGCACCTCCAGAGCCAGGCGAGCGTTGAGACTGTTTACTGCAGACCTAGGCTTCCTAGAGAAGGAGCCCCGAGAGCCACTTCTGGGCAGTGGTAGCAACCGAGTGGACTTGGCTCCTGGTTTCTGCTTGAGCCAGAGTAACTCTTCTTTATCTGTGGAATTCCACCCACAGGTAAATTAATTAAAGGATTCCAGTACCAAAAACAAAAAGGCACTGAATTAGACAATGTGTTATTAAAGTGCAGTGAAGGAGAAGGGGAGTAACGTCTGTCAAAGACTTAATAAGGGTTAGGTAGAAGGTAGCCATTTTGGTCACTCAGACTGCCTCTTACTTAATGCTGTGTGCCAGAGACTCTGCTAAGAACTTATATATTAATGCATTATCTCATTTAATCCTCACTGGCATTCCACAAGGATCCTACAAGCCAGAACAATGAGTCCTACCCTGCATTCTAATGAGGAAAACTAAGATTCTAGGAGGCTAACTTCCCCAAAATTAGCTAGCCAGGGAGTAGATATGGTTGAGGGGTGAGCTCAGGTCTGTCTGGAGCAAAGCATGTTTTTCTACTCAATTTGCCTCACTATGAGCCAAAAGAAGAGCCAAACTTCAGATGGAGACAGCTGAAAAAATTAAAGATGCTGTGTATAAGGTGCTGAGTACAGTGCCTGGCATACAGCAGCCATTCCACAAATAGTAGTCACCTTTATTCAGTTAGCAACACAAATTGATGCCTGCTGTGAGCCAGGCCCCTTGCTAGGTGCTGGAACTATAGAGACGAATAAACCTGGTCTTGTAACCAATGACCTCATGGTGCAGGAAGGAGAGACAAACAGGAAGTTATTTAAGTGCACCAGAGGTCCCAGGGCCTCACGTAGGCACACAGCCTTACAACAGACCCCCTAGACAGTACCATGTTGGAGGATGGTGGGAAGAGAAAAGACCTTTGTGGTGGGGTAATAGTGTCAGCAAAGGCCCAGAAGCAGGCATATTCTGGGACTCATCACTGAAGGGAAGTGAGGAAACTGACTCAACAAACCCCTGCACGCCAGCTTCCATCCTTTCAGGCTCCCTCCATGGCCTCCAGACTGCAAGCTGGCACTGTCCCAGCCAGTATGTGTGCATCTCACCATCAGAGCCTCCAGCCCAGTGGACCTAAGTGCTGAGCGGGGCTGGGTGGGCAGGGAGGAGGAAAAAGCAGATCTATGGCTGAAGTCAGCAGAGCCAAGTGATGTATGTGGCGCCTGAGGGAGCTACACAGTGACACTCTGGATTCCAACCGGCAAGTGTCACTCCACTGGGATTGGCACCGAATTATTGCTCCATATGAAACTCCAGGACTGATGGGAGCTTTCAGTTACAGACTGATAGCAACAGCCAAAATTGGATTGTTTGCTATTTATTTTTTTTTAACTTCTGTCAAGGTCACTACTGTAACAGGAAAACACTGCCCAAACAGTAGGTATTTTTTATCCACTCTGCCCACAAGAGCAATCAGCAACCACAATTTTTGTGACAGGGCCTTACTTTGACAGCTCTCTTTCTAGAAAGATGTTAGTGTTACAGGCATGGGGAAAAGGAGCCTCCCGAAGACCTGGTCATTCCTTTCCGGTTCAAGATCTGCTTCCTTTCCCTCCAGCTCCTAATTTCCACAAATACTCTACCATCAGGCCCATGCCCTCGCCCCTCCCTGCCTATTTTCCAGACAGTCCCACAGGTCCCTCCTGGCCCAGTCCTCCTCCAGCTTCTCCAATCCTCCTGTTCCCCAGAAAGCCCCCCAACAGTTGTTCCACACTTATGTGTCTCCTTCCTTTCTCTATTCCTATACTACCACCCCATCTAGCTGTTAATTCTCTCCTCTTTGTATCTGTCATTTTTACAAACACTCACCAGATGCCCCACTGTGCCAGGACCCATGCTAGAAATAGCAGTGAGTCAAAGATAGGGCCTGTCCTTGGGGAGCCCATAATTGATTTAGAGGACGGACTTACAGACATTTGCCAAACTTGTTTTCAAGTACAATTTTGTGTTTTTTAGTGAAAGATACAGTCCTAGAGATAAACATTCATGTTTTGAACCCTTGAGGAAAATGGTCGTGAAGTGTTTGTGTGCAGGCCATGCCTACCACCTGACTCTGAGCTGCCTGAGGGCAAGCCCCAACCCTCCTCTTCTGTGTGGGGCGATCAAGCTCAGGCTTCTGCTGCCTTTTGTGAAGTGGATGAAGCCCAGGGCCAGACATGTCAGACCCTCAGCATCAACTAGAACCTCCCAGGGGACAGGGCACAGTCCTCCTCCTTCCTCTGCCCCACCCTTTCATCGTGGCCATGCACAAGGCTGGGCACACAGCAGTTGCTGAATAATTATGTTTAATTGAAATGGAGGGTGTTCATAGCTCTCTTTTGAACAACAAAAAGTTTTTCAAGACGAAAGAGAAAGGAATTTATACTTAGTAAGCACTTACTCCATGCCAAGCATGATGCTAGGCCTATCATATTAATATTTAATCCCCAATTTGCTGATGCTGATGAGAAAACTGAGGTGAAATAACTTGCTGCAGGTGATAAGCACATCTTGTAAGTGACAAAGCTGGGATTGCACCCAGGTCTTCTGTCAGCCTCCAGAGCCAGGGTTAATCTGCTAGCAGTACTTATTCTACCAGCAGAGTGAGCCGAGACCCCTGAGTGGCAGACACCTGAGCAGAGAGTGCGAAGAGCTGGACCAGCCGCCAGTGACCATGAGCCATAGCTATGAAGGAGGACCCCCAGAAACCCAGACCTGTGTTTTTCCCCCTGTTGCGGGATAGAATGAAGCTATGGACCCAGCAGCCCTGAACCATCTGCCCTCTCTCCCCACAGTACCAAGAGAAGCAGCGAAAGCGTGAGGCTGAGGAGCGGCGCCGCTTCCCCCTGGAGCAGCGACTGAAGGAGCACATCATTGGCCAGGAGAGCGCCATTGCCACAGTGGGTGCTGGTAAGTGTGTGGGACCCCAGAAAGGGCAGCGTGGTTCATGCTCTGCTGCAATGAGGTGTACATCCGGTTGACGCCAAACTGGATAGGTGCGGTAAATGATATTAAAAGTTAGCATTTGTTGAGTCCTATCTATATGCCAGACATTGTTATAAGCTCTCTGCATGTCATGTGTCATTTAATCCTTATAGCAATCCTCTGAGGTTGGTACCGCTAAATCATTTTGCAGATGAGAAAGCTGAGACAGAATAGCTAAATCACTTGCTCAAGGCTGCTTTCCTATGCATAGAATTTAAATCTGACCTTCACCTAATCCGCTATCCTCAACCCCATTTTTCTTTCTTTTTTTTGGAGATGGAGTCTTATTCTTTTGCCCAGACTGGAGTGTAGTGGCACCACCTTGGCTCACTGCAACCTCCACCTCCTGGGTTCAAGCAATTCTCTGCCTCAGCCTCCCCAGTAGCTGGGATTACAGGCACCTGCTACCACGCCCAGCTAATTTTTGTATTTTTAGTAGAGACAGTTTCACCATCTTGGCCAGACTGGTCTTGAACTCGTGATCCACCCATCTCAGCCTCCCAAAGTGCTGGGATTACAGGTGTGAGCCACTGCACCTGGCCTCAACCCATTTTACAAGTGGGAGAATTGAGACCCAGAGAGGGATGGGAGCTTGTCTGTCACTAGCAACGTAGCAGCTGAGCCAGAACTTATGTCCCCATCTGCCAACCTGGGACTCTGCTATCACTTCTGGATAGTTTGTCAGCAGCTGGCCCAACGTTACAGAAAATACCCTGAACAACTTTTGAGTCTTCTTCACCCTTGAAGCTCTTATTTCCATACTTTGACCCCTGGGAGCCAGGCTGCCCTCTGGTATAACCCCTAATGTAATGACCCTCCTGCTTGTGCAGACCCCACTAGCAGATAATTAAAACTAAGGTTCTGCTGAATACAGTGGCCTTATCTTTGTTCCCTGACTCTCGAGCGCCACTCCTTGGGCTTGATTTCAGATAGATAAGGCAAGGGAAGAGGAACCATGGGCCAGGCCAAGACAAAGGTGCATCTGCCAACACAGTGGTTCTCAAAGCATAGTCTCTGGACCAGTGGCATCACTGTCTTCTGGGAACCTGTTAAAAATCAGATCTCAGGCTCATCCCACACCCATTGAATCAAACATTCTGGGGATCTGTATGTTAACAGGCCTTCCAGGTGATTCTGACACTCAGCTGAAGTTTAAAATACCACTGCCCCAGGAAGACTCTACCTGGTCATGTGGTATGCCTGGATTGTGGAGTTGGTGCTTTTAAACCTCCTTTGTAAGGAAGTTACTGCATCCACCTTGCTGAGAAGCCCTGCAGCTGGGAATCACAATGATAATGTTCAGAGCCATGCTCAGTCCTTGTGACCAGCTCCCAGAGGCTTCTAAACCCAAGCATGAGGGAATAAGGCAGCCTGGTGGTTGCAGCTGCCAACCCAGCTGAAGCATGAAGCACTCTCTGGGTCAGAACTTATGGTAGGCAAGCAGCACCCAGCACCTTGGGACCTCACGCTGAAGCAGGTCCAGGAGAGTGAGGTGGATCTAGAGGCTAGGCCAGGCCTCCCTGAGTTCTCTAAGCTAGTGTCACATGTATGCTAGGGACTGGCTGGATGGAGCTTGGCACCCCATGGGTACCATGAGGATGGGCAGCCAGAGAAGTGCCGCAGAATGAATTGATTTGATAAATGGCCATTTATTACCCTCACGAATTGGCTGAAACCAATTTCGGTCACATCAACCCCTGGTAAGTGCTGGGATATTGATTTGTGCAAAGTAATACAGTGAATTTATCAGTGTGATCCCCAGCTGCAGGGCCTCTAGCAAGGCTGGCGCAGTTACCACCTTACAAATGGAGGAGATAAAGCGTCAGCCCCACAGCCCAGGCCCTCATGGCCTCTCTGGTCTAGGGCCACTGGAGCCAAACCAGGACACCCTGCAAGCCAGAGCTTTGGCATTGCAAATGAGGCTCTCCTTCCAGAATCCAGAGTTGCTCTCGGTCACAAGGAAGGCAGCTGCCTGCCCTGTTGGGCAGACCTCCTGGGAGCTCAGCACCTCTAAGCCCCACCATTCTCCTCAGAAAGGCAACCAGCTGTCTATTCAGGACATTCAGAACCAGACTCCTCCCCCTCCCCAGCCTGCCCATCTCCTGTGTTGCGATCTGTGTAGAGACCACCGTTCACTGGACTCCTAAATAGAAACTCGGATGATTCCTGGGCCCCTCCCGTGCCCTGCCCCCTTACAGCCCATGAAGGATCAAACACCTGGCCTTTCTGCTCTGTTCCTAATACTACTGCCCTAACTCAGGGTGTCAGTCTCCCATCTGAACCAGGCAGCCCCCTCACTGGTGTCCCTGCCTCCCTTCCTTCCCCTAGAATCAGTTCTCCTCACCAGCTGAGTGATCTTTGCAAAACACGTATATAACAATGCCACTCCCCTGTTTAAAACCTTTGCCTGTTCCTTGCTGCCCTAACCTGGCATGCAGGCCCGCTGCTGCAGCTCCCTGCTTTGACTGCTTATACCAGCCACAGTGGCCTGCCTCTGCCTCCTGTACATACTGTGTTGATTTACCGCCTGCATTTGTCTGCCACCCTCTCTGCTTACAGTCCTTTCCTCTGGCCCTTCCCTACCCCACACCAACCTGTCACCCACACACTGGCTGGTTTTTACTTAGCCTAACTCAGCTCAGGAGCAATTGACTACAGGCTCCTTGAGGGGAGATAATGTGACTTAATTGTTTTTATGCTTCCAATTCCTGGCACAGCACCCTGCTCAAAGTGGATTCTTAGTGCAGTTTGTCAAATTAAAGAATTTGGTCTGGTCCCTTGTCTATCTCCAGGGAATGGCCCCATAGCCCAGGCCCTCATGGGCTCTAGGATGTGCCCCAAGGTAAAAAAGAGAAGCTGCAGCACCTGCTCTCTAGTAGCTCACAGCATACAGGGAATGTAACTATAGAATGGCTCATAACAGCCATACTCCTTGATCTTTGACCCCAGGGGTGGGCAGGCCATTCCCCAGACCTGCTCTAAGAAGCCTCTCCTGGACAGCAGGTCAGCCTGCACATACCCTGCAGCTTTCTCGGAGTTCCCTCTGACCTGGTCCCAGTTGACACTCTGAAGTTACACACTCCCCTGGGGAAGCTCTGCCACCTCACATGTTCTGCTTTGCCAGAGTATGGCGAATATTCTATATTACAGAAGGATTGCGTATAGCCACCAGGGCTCACCACCAGATCTCATGCTTCACTTCCCTCTTTGACTAGTCCAAAAACGTGATCTTCTGAAGCTCTGGACCCTCCGTCCAGATCATCCCTGGGTTGTGGAGTTGTAGTGATTTTTTTTTTTTTTTTTTTTTTTTTGATACGTAGTCTTGTACTATGTATCAAAAAAAAAAAAAAGGCTGGAGTGCAATGGCGCAGTCTCTGCCTCCCAGGTTCAAATGATTCTCCTGCGTCAGCTTCCCAAGTAGCTGGGATTACAGGTGCCCGCCACCATGCCCATCTAATTTTTATATTTTTAGTAGAAATGAGGTTTCACCATGTTGGCCAAGTTGGTCTCGAACCACTGACCTCATGATCTGCCCACCTCAGCCTTCCAAAGTGCTGGGATTACAGGCGTGAGCCATCACGCCCAGCCACAGAGTTGTTGTGATAAGCTTGAAAAACTGCTTGCAGTTCCACCCCACATCATGCTACTTCTGAAGTAACATGTTGTACTTTCTCGTTGCCTGGACTGCCCCGCCCTTCCATGTTGCCTGGACTGCCCCGCCCTTCCATGTTGCCTGCTGAGACATTCAAGACCTTGACCTTTTGTTGTACATTTAAAAATAACTGAAAGAGTATAATTGGCATGTTTGAAACACAAAGAAATAATAAACGCCTGAGGTGATGGATGCCTCATTTACCTTGATGTGATTATTACGGATTGTATGCCTGTATCAAAATATCTTAACGACCCCACAAATACATACACGTACATGTACCCATTTAAAAAAGAAAAGACCGGTCAGGTGCGGTGGCTCACACCCGTAATCCCAGCACTTTGCGAGGCCCAGGCGGGCGGATCACAAGGTCAAGTGTTTGAGACCAGCCTGGCCGATATGGTGACACCCCGTCTATTCTAAAAATATAAAGATTAGCCAGGCCTGGTGGCATATGCCTATAGTCCCAGCTACTCGGGAGGCTGAGGCAGGAGAATCATTTGAATCCCTTGAGGCAGGGGAATCACTTGAACCCGGGAGGCAGAGGTTGCAGTGAGCCGAGATCATGCCACTGCACTCCAGCCTGGGCAACAGAGACTCCATCCCAAAAAAAAAAAAAAAAAAAAAAAAGAAAAGAAAAGAAAGAAAAGACCTAGGCCTTCTGCACATTGCCCTCCTCAGTCCTCCTGGATTTAGGGCCTTTCCCTGGGATTCCTGGGAACACCTTTATTATGTGTTATCTACTATGTTTGTGTGTCTTTCTCCCTCCAAAAGTCCAGAACTACTGCAAACCAGCTCTTTTTCTCTAGGGTTGGGCACACAGGGGTATAAAAAGTTGTTGAACTCAGTGAATGAAGCCTGAACCCACTGTGACATTCCGCCACTCCCCCCAACACAGATTCTCATCTCAGCCTCTTTCTGGAAGGGGTCACTGCTCTTCTCTCAGGCAGTGCCTACTCCCGTGTGTGTGTGTGTGTATGTGTGTGTGTGTGTGTGTGTGTGTGTGTGTGTGTGTCTGCGCGCACGCACAATGTTAGGTCTTGTCACAAGCTACTCTTTGTATTTTTAAGATGTTAACCCCTTGGCAGCAATAGTTTGCCTGCAGAAAGAATAATCCTTACTAAGGACTAAGTACAGAGCTGCTCTTCCATGATCCACCAAACCCTAGGCACCAGTCTCCACCCAGTAGGCACCTGTTGAGTACTTACCATGTTCCTTGAACCTACAAGCAGTCATCAGGAAACGGCTGATAAACATTTGTATGACTCTCAACTATAAGAGTCCCTCTGAAGGACTAGTTCCTCTAGGAGATGCCACAGACTTGTGACAAACATGTTCCAGATTAGGTTATAAAAAACTTCCCACACTATATCCCTGGCACCTATCAAGAAAGGTGAGTCAGCCCACCCAGACTGCCCCAGAACCTTGAGCTGGACAGAAACAAAGACCTGGGGTGGAAGGAGGAGGTCGCTCTCGCCTTTTTGGCACACACTAGGGCCTTCTTCCTGGAATGTCCCGTCATATCTGCAACTGGCTGGCAATCTCCCTCTCACCCTTAAAGCACAAATGTCAGACTGGCACAAATGGCTCTTCCCATACTTCCCTCTGTGCACCCATCCCATTTGGAGCCCACAGTTTTCATAGCAGCATTTACCTCTATGGCACGCACCTTGTTTGAGGCCTCTTTGTGGGTGTCCCTGCACCTAGCACAGAGCTTGTTTGCTAAACAAATGCATAAGCCTTCCTGGAGAGGGATTAAAAAGAAAGTGGAAGCCTTTTTCACCCAAGGGTGGTAGTAACCACCTGGGGCACTAAGAGACTCAAGTCTAGGCCTTACTATTCTCCTCTTCTCCTCTGTAAGATGAGAGTTGAAGCATCTGTTCTTTCCCCCTTGCAATTTTAGAAAGACCAATAATTCATTTAGTCAGCAAGTATTAAACCAGTGTTGAGTTAGTCTCAGGGGTCCCTCAGAAAATAGGAAACCCAGGACACCTAGCACCTGCTCCCAGGGAATACAGTCAGATTGGAGGCACACCCTCTCCCCTAGATACAAGGGCACAGGTAGATGAAACACCTTATACTGCCCCTCTCTGAGCCTCAGTGTCCTGTGTAAAATGGAGATAACACCTACTTCTCGGGATTATTAAAAGGATGAAAGAATTACTGTAAAATACCAAAGTTAATGGTAACTGCCATTGCTGCTGCTATGACTACCATTATTTTTACTCTTATTGTTATGCCACTTGTTGCCACTTACAAATAGCTTTCATCACCATTAACTTGTTTGATCTGCATATGGGGCTGATACAATATGTGTGACTATTCCCATTTTATAGATGAAGAAACTGAGGCTCCAAAGGAGTAAGTGTTTTGGTTTGGTTTTGGTTTTGGTTTGCTTTTTTTTTTCTTCTCTGAGACAGAGTCTTGCTCTGTCTCCTAGGCTGGAGTGCAGTGGTGTGATCTCTGCTCACTGCAACCTCCACCTTCTCACTTCAAGCAATTCTTCTGCCTCTGCCCCTCAAGAAGCTGGGATTACAGGCATGCACCACCATACCCGGCTAATTTTTTCTTGTATTTTTAGTAAAGACAGGGTTTCACCATGTTGGCCAGGCCAGTCTCGAACTCCTGACCTCGTGTTCTGTCCACCTTGGCCTCCCAAATTACTAGGATTACAGGTGTGAGCTACCACACCCAGCCAGGAATAAGTGTTTTATTCAAAGTCAGTCAACTGGTAAGTGACAAAGGTGGGACTCCACATTAGATCCTATAAACTCCAGCCCTCTCTACTATACCACCCTGTAGATAAATGCATGCCAGAGAATACAGACCTGCCAGTCAGTGGCTAGATGTGGTGTGGTGGAATTAATCAAAAAGTTCTGTTGCAGGTGAGTTTTCAGATGGTCCAGTAGTGACAAGCATGGCTAAGAGAAGGCAGAACACAAGCCAGTGGACACTGGAGCTATGTGCTAGAAGGCAGAGCATCCTGGCTGGAGCTTGTGGCGATGGGACTGGCCAGGGAAGGGAGCCAGGCTGCCTGTGCAGAAGCCCCTGATACTATCTCTAGCCCAAGAGCAGTGACCAGGACAGGGGCTCCTGAGGCTATGTGCTGAATGGCTGAGCAGGCCAGATTGGAAGACTACAGAGAACGTTTCCAGGGAGTCAGGGTATGAAAAGGTACTGTGGCAGCAGAGAGCCAGAGGAGGAGAGCTGACCTTCCTCCAAGCTCTCATAGTACAGCGCAGGCTCGGGATCAGCCAGAGCGGGGGGTAAAACCCAGGGTCTTTGTTTCTTCCCTCTGTAACCTTGAGCAGGTTACTTAACTTCTGTTTCTGTGTTTCTTCTCCTATAAAATGAAAATCACGTCCCCTGCTCTGCTTACCTTATAAAGCCATGACAAGGCTGAAATGAAATTATGTCTACAGAAGTTCTTTATAGACTATGAAGTGTTACAGAGTCCGTTGTAAATACATTTGCTGGCCACAATGAGAGCAACACCTATGGCCACATCCCATATGGGCCCATCCAGTCTGTCCCAGCTTCTACTCTGGCCTGGCGGCATCTTCAAGGCTCATAGCCTTGGTCCTCAGCCACCCTGCCAACCACACACACTGGGGCCCGCCTTCTCCTGTCCTTCCTGGCTGCCACCGTTTTTCATTCTGTCGGACTCCATCTGCTTGGTCGTTTTTCTCTTCAGATATTATTAGAAATATCCAGAGTTGTAATTGTTTAATGGTTGGCATTTCGCGTGTTTCACAGGGGACCCACATCAAGCTCACCCCAGACTCATGCCCTAGGTCGGACAGAATTGACCAGGGACAGCTGTGCAGTGAAGTCTGCCTGGCATTATAAAGAGCTCTCTCCCAGGTGCATTCCTAGAAAAGAAGGGGGGAACAATGGCCCCAGGCATAATTCAATTCCTCATTCTCCATGGTGTTTTCGTACTGCGCAGCCCGGCAGTGTGCAGCTCTCTGTGGGCTGGGATGCTACCTTAAAAGAAAAGGCAAGATCAGAACCCCAGGTACATGATACCCTGGAGAACCCTTGTAGGGGGATGTCTGGGTACATCTGCTCCTCAAATATGCCACGAAGCTTGAACTCAGTTCATGCTCAAGTTGTTTCCAACGAAGAGTCTCAATTTAGCCAACTTTTAGAAGAATGTGGCTCCTTTCAGGTGACCCCTCTCATCCCTGCACCAAAACACATACATACATGTCCACACATAGTATTCACAAGTCTAGCCTTTACCATTTTAATATCTTCACTTCCTCAGATACCCACACTCTCAGCTCCCTGTTTCTGTCGGACACCAGGGACTCCCAGCTTAGCCAAGCTTGCACTTGTCCCTCTTCATTCCCAGCATTAGGGTACCTATGAGGTCTACAGGTTCCCCTTATAGCCAGCCCTTTCGGAGATCCTAGGCCAGTTAGTTTAGAGAAAATCTGGATTCTTTCCCAGGAGAGAGGTTGTACTGAGCTTTTTCTCAGGCCTCTTTCAGGATTCTCAGGGAGCATTTTCTGGGCAGGCAGAAGTGGCTAGTCTGATGTCTCTGAATTTGCACAGCTTCCATCTGTTTCTGCTGAGGCCAGAAGTAGACAGAAAGTCGTATTATAGGTAAGAACATTAGAGATTGAGATGAGAAAGCCCAAAAACATGAAGCTGAACTCCTAAAACAGGTATTCCAGACCTTCACAGTCTGACCCCACCCCACCACTCCTCATGATCATTCCTGTCTCTCCACCTCTGTCATGCTGGCCACCTTTGCCTCTTCAAGTCCAGCCCATCCTCCATGATCCAGTCCTGCCTCTTCCAAAGAACCTTCCCAGACCTCTGCGGTCACTTCTTTGCAATCCAACCACACAGGATAGTAGTTTGGATCTTGGCAACTCAAGACAGGCAGACACATCCCAAACACTGTCAGATCTTTCTCGATTGACTACTGTTCCAGGCCTTGTCCTCTGACAGTTATCCCTTGGCTAATCTACCCCCTGACATTCTGCAAACCAGATCAGACATGCTTTTCCATCTGCAGAATGACCTTGACATTACATAATGCTCTTGTCTCTTTCCTGCTCCTGACTGCCATGTTTCCATTAGTGCAACCCAAATTGATACTTTTTTGAGCAGCCTTATGTTACTTTTTTTAAAAAAAGAAGAGGGGTTTAGAGAGAGAAGCAACTCTGCCACCTACTAGTTGTATGGCTTGGGCAAGTCTCTATCTGTTGCCTCAGTTTTGTGTTCAGTATAGTGGGTTGAAAATAATACTTTCCTCTCAGGTTATTTGTGTGGGTCTTGAATAGATACATTGTTGGTGAATTTTCCCATTGTGTCTAGCATACAGCATGTTCAGTGCATAATTCTTCTTGCAGTTCTGCCTCACTCCACCCCCACTCTTATACTTGAGCAATGCTTCTGAGCCTGATTCCCCTACTCCATAGCTAAGCACTTAGTTTCCTCAGCTTGAATGCATAGCCCTTGAATACATACTTCCTCTTGCAGAGGAGGTCATCTTGCTCTAGCAGAGTTGAGCCTCCAAGGAAACTGGTATAGATCTGTCCTACTCCCCACGCTCCTCCGCCCTCTGCCACTGGAGGCTGCAGTTAGCATCTCTGGTAACCATGTGGCTTACCCCTTCCATGCCCCAAGCTCCACATTGCCTTTGATTGGCTTCCAGAAAATGTGTTGGCTGTGTTTCCACTTCCTGACCCAGACAGTGGACCAGACCTTAGTTTCCCCAGATAGAAGAGTCCAGGGCTCACACCCCGCATCCCCAAGGGCCTGCCATGGGCTTCCGCCTCTTCCATTTGCATAGGAGGAGGCCTATAGTCTCACTAGTGATGAGTAGATGAGTAACCAGTGAAAGCTGAAGTTCCTCTCGAATTCTCCTTCACCAGTCCCCCACCCCCTTCACCTCCATTCACCATCCACCCGCCTTTCAGTTTCCCTGGCAACGCTGAGTGCTCATCCTGGAAAACTTTATCCGAAATCTGCTCTGGGCAGCTTTCCAAATCCATTCTAACCTGATTAGGTGTCTCTAGGGGCCTTGCCAGCTAATCAGATTAGGCAGCACTAATGGTAGTGAGGACTTTGAGTGGGCACAGAGCAGTAAAACATATTGTATACTTAGTGATAATTATCCTGCCTTTTGTGTCATTGATTTATCTGCCTCCCTCCCTGTCCCCCCGTCTTGTGTGTTTGGCCGTAGCGATCCGGAGGAAGGAGAATGGCTGGTACGATGAAGAACACCCTCTGGTCTTCCTCTTCTTGGGATCATCTGGAATAGGTAATTGGGAGCAGATCAGCCAGTGGGGATGGAGAGGTAGGGTAGTGCCCGGCCCAAGCCTGACAGCCCCAGCTGCTGTGGGCCAGGGTCAGCAGGTCTACCTCTAGGTCCACTTCCAGCTCTAAAAACAACAGCCTCCAAGTTACAGAGCCACCAAGAAAGAGGACTCTGTTACCATCTATCAGGTTATGAAGAGCTGGAATTATGTCCCTCCCTCTGGAAGCTGTGGTGCTAAGACTGATTCACTTGGAGGACCAGGCCCTTCAGGGCCCATTAAACCTGGTCCAGCCACTCTAAATTCCAAGAGCCTCCCCTTTGGGAACAGTTGAACCACCTCCTCTGCCTAGCACACCAACCATGTTAAGTAAAGCCTAACTGTAAAAGCTAAAGAAGGCCCCTGATGACCAGCGCAGTGCCAGATGCATAGCAAACTTGGTTGCAGTAAGATGGGTTGAGTATTTTTCTAGCCAGTTGGGCTGGATTATCTGAGGCATTCTTAAACCCTCATTCTCTGCCCTGACAGACCCCCCACATATCTTCACTACCACCTCCCACCATGGTCTTGATGGGAAATTTCATGGTTTAGTTGCCTCCTCTTCCCCTCCCAACATCTTCATGGGCCTCTCCTTCAGATGTAGGCCACCAAAAGGCTACCACCACCTGACCATGATGCTACAGAACTTGACTTTTATACTAGTCAGGGACTTCCAAAGGTTACCATCACACCAAATGGCCCTTCAGAGCCCCCACTTCAGCACTGTCATTCCTTCTCTATGTTACAAAGGACTGTGAAGCCACAGTGAAACATACCATCAGCCCCTCCCAGCCTCTCTCTGGCGTGTGGTTCCAGGGCCTGGCTAAATAGCAAGACTGTGGATAGTGAGAGGGATACACGGCGGTGAGCCAAGCAGTCTGGGTACGCCTAGGAGAGGTGAGGTTTAAATTGGGCTTGAAAAGGCAAGTTGCTTCTGGATTATAAAGTCAGCCTCTCACTCTTAGGATGGTGCTACAGAGAAAAGTCCTCAATCCCCATCCCTGAAAAATTTAAGATGCAGTGCAGACTTTGATTCTGGTCCCACCTTCACCATTAACTCCCTGGGTGACTGTGGGAGAGTCACTGATACTTTCTGCGCCTCAACATTCTCATGCATAGAATATATTTTTTCTAGTGTCCATGCATTTCTAGTATTCTTTCATTCCAGCAGATAATCACCTGGTTCTAACGCAACACCTCTCCCTTCTTTCTTACTAGGAAAAACAGAGCTGGCCAAGCAGACAGCCAAATATATGCACAAAGATGCTAAAAAGGTAAGGACTGGGACCTAGATCTGATCTGCAGATCGTAGAGACCTCACCTTCCTGCTATCCCAAAATATCTGACTCTGAATTCAGCAATAGGCAATCAAAAAGATGGTCCCTGACCCAGGAAGCAGATTTCAGCTCTGGCCGCAACATGGCCACCAATTGCTCCAGAGCTTTGGGCACTTTTGTGCCTCAGTTTCTTCATCTGTAAAATAGGAATAATAATCCTCCCCTGCCTGACTCTTGAGGGAACAAAGTGAGATCCAGCATACAACATTTTCAAGCATCTGTGCTATGCCAGGTGTTGTACTGGATGCTACTACAGCATTTATAAAGACACTCTGCCTGCTCCAGGGAGCTCAGGTTGGAGAGGGAAACAGACTTAGAAAGACACCATTACTGTTCAGTGCAATCAGGGCTGTGCTAATGTGAGTCTTGGGGGCTGTAGGAGAAAACAGGTAGGAATAAGAGGATGCCTTGTTGCTTCTCACTATCCTGCATGAGCTTTTAGACATGGTTTCCTGTGTCTTGAGCCTGGGGTGCATATAGTCCGCCTTCCTCCATGGCTCAGAGCCCTGGATTCTCCACAGGAGAGGGCCATCCCCATCCCCTGTTTGTTCACGCTCAGGCTTTCCAAGGCCTGCTCAGTTTAACTTTCTAGGCAGACAGGAAATGCTTTCATGCAGAGAGAAAGTACCTTTGATTGGCACTCTCAGAGAGTGCAGAAACATTTTACTGAAAGCCAAACATTCTCCTACCAGCCTTCCCAGTATCCAGGGCAGGAGGCCGCCCGAGACCCTGGATACTCTTGCCTTTCTAAGGAAAGCCTCCCTGGCCAAGGCAATGAGGAGTTGCTTAGGCCTCTGCCAGCCAAGTGGCCCCAGCAGCACAGAGTCTTGGACTCCTGTTCCCTTTCTAGGCTGCCTGCCCCACTGGCAGCCACAGAAACAAGGTAGCTCAGATTGGGTCCTCCTGAGCCCCCTTCTGCTTCATAAATGGCTAAAGGCTCTTAAACCCCCTGGCTCTGCCAGTAGCTGTGCTCTGCCTCCATCAAACCTGGAGCAGACCCACTAGACAAGCAGGCAAGCAAGAAACAGCGCAGAGCATGCTAATGTGCTCCAACTGAAATAGCATTTTTAAGTCAATTCATCAGGTTGGCAGCGATTGAAACAATTAGCACTCTGGAAAGGGCCATAAACTAGCAGGACTATTAGGGAAGATGCAGTTTATGGGCAGGAACCACCTGATTAGGGATGAAGAATTCTGAGTGGTTTAATTTTAATACTGTCAGAAAGGTTAATATTTAATTACAAATTATAATCTCCTTATCCAAGCTGTCTTCATATGTCTTCATACACAGTGGAAGTAAAAGGAAAGTATCTACTGACTTATCGGTGTAGAAAGGAGAAGGGGCTTGTTAAAAGACTAATAATGCAAGTAACTTTTTAGTTGGCACATCTAAATGGGAGACAGATTGACCCCAGTGCAGGATGAGGTTGGCATCCCTCAGCACAGGCCTCACTCAGAAGGAAGTAACACTGTCATCCCTTGGAGGCAGTGCAGCGCACTGTGGTAGACAGAGGTCTGGAGCAACCATTCTTTGCCTCAGGTTCTAGTTCTTCTACTTTCTATTGGCCCTAGGCAGGTAAACTTTACCCCTTGAAGTTTCAGCTCTCTTGCCTCAGGGTGAAAGCCTCTAGTCCTGTATCTTAGGTTATGGTGAACATCAAGTGAGATAATAGGAATCACATCTAGCTCAGGATCTAGCAGACAGCAAGTGCCTAATCCTTGGCTTGAATTTATTCATCATTTCCTACTTACCACAGCAGAACCCCGTCTACACTCCTATTTGATCCTATGAGGAAGATAGCATGGATGCTGAATTAGACCCACTTTTCAGATGAGAAAACTGAGGCCCTACAGCAAGGTCACCTTTTAGGGGAAGAAATAAAACCAGAATCTAGTCTCTCAACTCCCCACTGTGATACTGTTGTTCTCAGTGCTCTAGGAAGCTAGATTGGAAATGTGCCAGTGTGTCCCCATTACACACTGGGAGATGAGAGGCATGAGAAGCCCTGTAAACACAACCATGTATTTTATTTTTAAATCATAGGTGGTGCTTCTATAAAACTCCTACCTATACTAGCCCTGTGGGTCAGCTCATTACAGAATCTGTGTTTAGCATTGACACTTCATAGCCACATGACAGGTGACAGGCATGTTTGAGACCTGCCTTCAAAATCCAAGAGAACCCTGGACTTTAAGCTCTATAACCTGTGTACCCAGGACCCAAAGAGTGATATGTGGAAAGTGTCATTCACAGAGCCCACTGTAAAATAGACTTTTATCAAACAGAAGCTCCCTTTAATTTGCCTCCCAAGATGGCTGATGAAATGAAATGAGCACTGGCCTGGAGTCTGGTGATGTGAATAATACTTCTGGCTGTCTGATCCCTAGTTTCTTCATTTGTAAAGAGACACTGACAACTCCAGATCTTGCTGCTTCACAGGGCATTCTTTGTACATTTATATGATTTCTTTATCAGATCCGTGAACTTATTTTTTTCTCTCATTAGCCTGTGTGCTATTTCTCCCAAATTGAGTGGCCCTGTTAACTTTCATTACTAGAGCTAATAAGCCTTGAGAAGGAACCTTAATGGTGTTCTGTGATATCATCATCAGGTAGGGTGATGGAGCCCAGAAGACTTATAGTGGCAATATGATGAAGGATAAAGAGCAAGTATCTGAGTCCACTGCCTGGGTTCAAATCCCAACTGTATCCTGCTATGTGGAGTTGGCCAGGACCTGTTTACATCAGCTTTCTGGGTTCCATAATGGTGCCTGTCTCACTGGACTGTTAGGAAGGTTAAATGAGATAGTGATGTAAAATGGTAAACGCCATTCTTGGCACGTGGTAAGCAATCAGTACATGTTGGATGTTACTCTTATTGTCCTTGCCTCACTTTGTTGATAACCCCAAGGTAAGATCATGTGAAATCAAAATGATGATTGTGGCTCAGAAAAATCAAGCCTACAAACTTGTTCGAAATTACATAGCAAATCATTAGAAGAACTAGGGTGAGAATCCAGGTCACTTGACATAAGTAAGCTTGAGAGTCTATGCTCCCTGTGTCCTCAGACATTCACTGGCATCTGGACAGAAAGCTGAGAACCCTTCAGGCAAAGACTGTCAAGAACCCAGCTGACTGGCAGAAGGGGAACTATGAGGCAGGATAGCATGATGGCTAAGAGCACAGACTTGGAGCCGGACTGCCAAGCATGGGTGACCTTGAGAAAGTTACTTTAATCTCTGACTTAGTTTTCTCATCTGTAAAGTGGGGGTGATTGTAGTGCTTACCTTAGAGACTTGTACATGTTCTAAGCCCTTTATATAAGCTTGCTTAACATTGCTAGGCACATAGTAAATACCCAGTAAATATCAGCTGTTATTAATCAGAGACCCATCTTGTGGCTTTCAGGCCATTGCTGTCTCCCAGTTTCCCCTTGGCCATCCTACCACCCTTTCTGAAACCTGCAGATCTCTTGGCTTAGTGGCCTAGGGATCCTCTGGAAATGCTTGCTGATTCATGCCCCATGTGCTAATAGCAGTGCTTTCCCCCATGTGGCCTTAATAACTTCTCTAAGCCCTGTCCCACCTCTTGGATTAGGTCTTCAGACCCCTGATGAGGCAGGGAGAGGAGCCAAGAGCCTTGTGTAATGCAGAACAAAACCACAGCTCAAAAAGGGGAGGCAGCATGTCCAAGGTTACACAGGCAGACAGAACTAAGACTGGAAGCCAAGTCCCCTGGCTCCCAGCCCAAGGTTCTTCTTGCTACCCTGTGTCTCAGCTATAGAGTGACAGGACAGAGAAAGAATTAAAAATGCATCACGGTGTGAATTTCTGACCAGTGGCCAAGCTAGAATATGGCCCTGGATTTCAGAATAGCTACCTCCCACTGAGGGTCTTGGCACCCCATCATTGCCAGCTCTCAGAAGGATTCAGTGAATGCTGTCTCTTAGATGGAAGCATGTGCCAGTAGGAGAGGAGCCCGGGGGACTGTGGGGAATTCTGGCCTGGCTGTGGCTAGACAGGGCACCTGTGGATGCCTTTATAGCTCCCTAATCAGGTAATGCCTCTTGAAAACCAGCGGGTATTCTGCCTGTGTTAACTCTTCAGGTCACACACTGCAAGCTGTTCTCTTCCCCAGGGGCTAACCATGGTCCTCACCCATGGGGCCACGTCCTCAGAAATCACCCCTACACCCAGTGGTGAAGAGAGAAGGGCTGTAAAGCCATGTTATGGATATTCTTTGAATGAAATGAAGAAATGTAAATAAATTTTAAAATATATTCATTTTGAAGAAAAGTAAATCAAAGAGACAGGGCATCACACAGACTTGCAGAGTCGAGGGGCATTCTGGAGCCATCTAAGTGTTTCTGTCTCCCTCACATCACAATCCACACCAATCATGACTAACTTTGTCCATGTCTGTACCACTCCATGGGGCACTCCTTAAGGACAGATACCAAGACTTGTTCCCTGTTGTAACTCTGGTGTCCAGCACACACAGGGTGCCCTCAGGAAATGTGGAATGGAAGGGTGGGTGGGTGGATGATGTGGTAATCAGACCAGGAGAGACCTAGCTGAAAGAAGACACCCCAAGTCAGATTTAGAAGGTCAAGCACATGATTTGGATGTTTTAGGGAAGAGAATGAGGGACTCGTGGGAAGTGAGTGCACAGAAAAGGAGACAGGAAGCCAGAAAAGAAAAAATCTCCTGAGCGTGAGACAGAAGATTTTGTGTTGGTGTGGTCTGAAAGCCTTGGGGATAGTTGAGGTGCTCTCCTCCCTAACCCTTCTCTTCACTTTCCTTCCTCCAAACGAACTTGGTGCTTGCTTGTTTCCACACAGGGCTTCATCAGGCTAGACATGTCCGAGTTCCAGGAGCGACACGAGGTGAGTGACAGTCCTTGGTTGAAGCATGGTTTCTCAGCACGACTGCCTGGGTATTTCATGACTTGTCATTTGGGCCTTTGGGCCTCAGATCATTCCAGCAGCCTTGGGATTTGTCATTGGGAGCACAGGTGTACAGCAGGGTCACTGATCTGCTTCACATAGGATTTGCTCTGAAGAATAAACATTGAAAAGATCTATCTGCCACACCAGGAGAGGGACAGCCAATTGTCTTTGTTGAACAGGCAGTCTTAACAGTGTATAAAGTCGTCTTCCCATGCATGCCCCATGTTGAAAACTTGCACAGAAAGGCCTTTCTAGCATGTTTCCTTCCTTCCACCAGGTGGCCAAGTTTATCGGGTCCCCACCAGGCTACGTTGGCCATGAGGAGGGTGGCCAGCTGACCAAGAAGTTGAGGCAGTGCCCCAATGCCGTGGTGCTCTTTGATGAAGTAGACAAGGCCCATCCAGATGTGCTCACCATCATGCTGCAGCTGTTTGATGAGGTGAGAGTCACCTTGGGCCAGGATGGAGCAGGGGGACACCTGGAAATATGGGGGGCTGAACAGCAGAAAGCAAGGGCCCAGAGGCTAGCTGGTCTTTCCTTGGCTTCCTGCTCCCACATGCGTACGTTCATTCATCCAGCAGATGCAGCTTAGCCCCTCTGCACCAGGGTCCTCAAGGGAAGACCAGCCCTGCCTAAGAGTTGAAATTGTGTAGCTAGGGCCACCTTCTAGAGAGACATGGTATGGCAGAGGTGCCATGAGAGAGAGACATGAATTTTTAGTTCCAGCTCTGCTCCTGACTGGTTTTGTGGCCTTGGCAAGTCACTGCCCATCTCTAGGCATCAGAGACCTCATGTGACAAACAAGGAGGCTGAATCAGAGAAGCCCCAAGAATCCTTCTGCCTCGGACAGCTTTTGTTCCTCCCTGTGTGCCAAACGCTGTCTCCTGCAGTTCTTTAAAATGCTAACATTGTTGCTGTTAATGGTGAGATGCTGATACTCTGGTTCATGGGCCTTTCTCTTCTGAGAATCTGAGGGTTCTCACAGACAGTTCAGTTGCCGTGCTGGTAAGGGTAAGTTCTGAATGGAGAGAAGAACTCACTTCTATCCAGTACCTTCTATGTACTAGACTGTACTAAAGACTTTATAGACATTATCACTAATCCTCACATGTAGGTAGAAAAATTCCTACCAGGCAAGGTAGAAATTGTCTCATTTTTTTACAGATAAAGAAACCGAGGCTCAGAAAGTTTATAAAAGATGTGCCTAAGGCCGGAGCTGCTGTGTAAAGAGCCAAGATTGGGCTGCAGATATGTCTGATTCCAGAGCCCCAGTTCTCCCCCCATACCACTGTTTACCTTCAGCCAGGCAAGGGATTGCTTATGATCATGGAAAAGATGACTTCCACCTTTCCAGGGCCCTGCTCCATCAAAAGAGCATGAGGAGCCAAGGACTGAACCGGGGCTGAGGCCTCTGTTCTTCCGTGCAGGGGCTATATTAGCCAGCACCAGGCCATGAGTCCGGCTCACCTTTCTACCTAGCCTCCTGCAGCCCTGGGAAAATGGGAAGGTGGTTTGCTTCCCATGTCACAGGAGCACAGGGAGGGAACTCCTCCAGACTGAATAGCACATCAGGTACCAAGCCAGGAAGACCTAGATCCCGATCTCCTACCAGCTGCTCACTGCCTTCCCCACCTGGCCTAGCCTCCTTGCCCCTGCCCATTTTGTTGGTATCTTCCTAGCTCTTCAGCCGCTCCCTGCTGGCAAACCTCCTGCTGAGGAAGAAGAAGCCAGTCCTTCAGAGGTCACAGACTCAGTTACTCACATGTGTACCGTGTACACTGAGGCCTCCATTCCAGCCTCTTGATGGGATTCAAGTGCACGGCTATGGCCAGACCCAAACATGTCCTCTGGGAGCTCTCTGCCTGGTAGACAGGTGGAAAGGAGACATGGTAGTAGCTGGCATTTTGCATTTTATGTGCATTCACTGTTTTAAGAGGTTTAAGTGTATCAGTTTAAACCTTTAAACAACCCTCCAAAGACAGTTATTATTACAGCCTCCATTGAACAGAGGTGAAAACTGAAGCAAAGTAAGATTAAGTAGTGATCACGCAGCTGGGAAGAGAGAATCAAGGATTCGAACCCAGGCAGCCCAGTTCTAGATCCTGCAGCCTGAATGACTGCCATGCAGCTAGGGCCAAAAGAGCCTGGTCAGTCTCAGTGAAGCACTCAAGGGACAGGACAGGACAGCTCAGGGAGGGTGAGCATTGCGCCTGTTTGATCTCTGGCATCCCTGGAGAGGTACCTCTGATGGCATTCTTGGCCCAGAAAGACGAAAGGCAACTGCTGACTGAAGTAGAAGCAGCCCTGCTTGTAAGCCCTGTCTCCCCTACTCTGCCACTTCATTCTACTGACTGCCTTTTAGGGGTTGAAGGAATTCCTTCCTGCAGCTGTTGTCACCCCTTTTCCCAGCCCCAGCCTACTATAGTTTCCAATCCTCTTGGTTCCATTGGCCAAAGCTGCCATCCAGGTTCACTTAGATTTACGCTCTTTGAGAACAGGTACTTGTCGTGTTTGCTTGAACCATTCCCAGAGCCCACGAAGTCGGGGGAAATGTATTGACTAATTTAATCCAACAGTTTAGCAAACCTTCAGAGGGCTAGTAAGTACTAGGTGAGGAGAATGGAGGGGCTGGCAGTAGGCACCTAATATGCAGAAGCGCAGGGCGTGAAGCAGCCTGGCATGCTCAGGGAACTGCAGCTGGTCAGTACTACTTGATTGCAGAGGGAAAGCAAGGACAGAGTGGTAGAGAGGAGGTCAGTAAGGTAGACAGGTCCCAGTTAAAATGCCAGGCACAGAAGTGTGAATTTCTCTCGTAGAGAGTAAGGAGTGTTTGAAAGACTTTAAGCAAGAAAGAAACAGTCAGATTTTCACTTTACAGAGATGCTGTGGGCAGCTATGTAGAGAAAGGATGAGAAGGGAGAGGGTCACCAACAAGGAGACTGCTGGGGAGCCTAAGCTAGAGCTAGGAAGGCCATGGGCTGGAGAAACTTACTAGAAGGTTGACTGAGGAGAGAGGGAGGAGCCAAGGTGGCCAGTTGGCTGCTGTGGCCATCAGCTGAGGTGGGGAACACAGTGGGAAGCAGCAGATTGGTGAGGAAGGTGAGGCACTGGGGTGTGGAAATGCTGAAGGTGAGATGCCTGAGGGACATCCACGCAGAGATGGCCAAGAGGCTGTTTATCAGGGCCAAGAGGCAGTTCGTGGGTCTGGAGTTTGGGAAAGGTCTGACTGAAAATAGTAGTCCAGGAATCCTTCAGCCCAGAGAGGTTAACAGAAGCCACAGGAATAGATGTGGTCTCCAGCCCAGGGAGTGTATAATGTGCAGAGAAAAGAGGACTACACTCAGAGCCTTGGGACCTATCAGGGAAGAGCCAAAACAGACTCACTAGAGAGGTAGGAGGCAAACCGAGGCAGGCATGGTGGGTCACACCTATAATCCCAGCACTCTGGAAGGCCAAAGCAGGCAGATCACTTGAGCTCAGGGGTTCGAGACCAGCTTGGGCAACATGGTGAAACCTTGCCTGTACAAAAAATACAAAAACCAGCTGGGTATAGTGGCATGTGCCTGTAGTCCTCACTACTCAGGAGGCTGAGGTGGGAGGATGGCTTGAGCCTCAGAGGCGGAGGTGGCAGTGAGCAGAGATTGCACCACTGTGCTCCAGCCTGGGCAACAGAGCCAGACCCTATCTCAAAAACAAAAAGGAGCAAACCGAAAGAATGTGGCTCATTTGTTTTATTCATGAGGCACTGTGTGGGGCAGGGGGACACTGACAAAACAGATGCAGCCCTGGCCTCAGTGTGACCAATGAGTGGGAGACGGGCCTCTAGAAAGCAGTTCAGTCCACTGTGGTCGGTGCTGCACCAGGGACAAGCAGCACTTGTAGGGGCACCTAATCCAGGCTTGGAGCTGTGAGGAAAGCACCCCCATCCCCACCCAGTCTAGTTTTCCCAAGCCTGGGCCCAGAAAAGCAAGAATTCTGTTGCTCTCATCAAAGCAGTACTAATGCTGGCCACTTACAGGTGACCCCAGGGCAGAAGTCCCAGGAAAAGACTAGTCCCCAGAGAGCCCAGCCCCCACTCCTCCCATCAAGGATTCATATGTGAAATAGTGGGAGAGCAGCCCCGTAACCCTGGGGTGAGCATTCAAGCCCCACCCAGGATGTGCATGCTTTGGTTGTTAGAGGGAGGTGAGGCACAGACAGCTCCCTGTTTGGGATACATCTTTATTGCCCAGGAAACTGAGAGGAAGGAGACATGAGCACTGAAAATCACCCTTTGGGTCAGTTGTGCACTGCACCTGCTCCCCTCACCCACCTGGGACACATCCTCAGGCCCAGTTATGAGCAGAGCTTTGATCTCTTAGAATGAAATTGCTGCTGGGTTATTGCTCTGGCCAGTATAGCAATGCGTGAACTCAGTCCTTGGGGATAAGCTCTGCAAAGTGAGTATGGAACACATACAGTGTCATATGCATTACACTGTCATACATGTTGGACATGTCTCTAACACACACACCCCTGGTGCCTAAAACTAGAACTGCCTTCAGTGGATTCTGTTGGATTAGAACCCATAAGCAGAGGGTAAGAGTGAAAAGCTGCTGGTAAAGCTCAAGGACATCCGCTTGCACCCTTGCTTCCCCTTTTCCTGCTTCAAGGCAAGGACAACAGAGTGACTAGCTCCAGGACGTGGATCACCAGGCCCCTTGGGAATTAACAGTTTCTCAGAGGCCTGTCAGTGGAAAGTAAGGCTGGAAAGCACACCCAGCATGCAGTAAGCGCTCAGTTGATGCACAGTCCTTTCTCCTTTGCTCCTAAAGGGCAGTACTGGGTTTACCATTACACTGGCTTTAGAAGCAAGGGCTGACCCTGAAGCTCAGGCAGGGCCCAGCATCCCTGGCTCAGGCAGGAGCCAACAGGCTGAGGTCAGTGATGTATCCCCAGAGCCATGGTTTCTGGCTTAGCGGGAACTGTGCTTTCTCTGCTCCCCAAAAGAAATCTCAGGCAGATCTCCTCCCTAGCATCTGTCCCAATTGCATCTCTCCAGTGAAGATCAAAGGATACAAACTGAATTGGGCAAAATTCTGAGAAATTTCTGTTGAAGGAAAGAAAATAGCATGAGGCCTCATTCATCCAGCACCATTGGTATGACCTCTATAGCCTGATGCAGAGGGAAGGGCATGGGCTCTGAGGTCAGACAATTCAAGTCTCACCTCTACCATATCCTAGCTGTGAAACCTCAAACAAGTACTGAACCTGTCTGAGCCTCAGTTTCTTTGTAGGGGTCCTAACTGCACCTACCTCCAAGGGTGGATGTGAAGATTCTGACCTCCAGCAAGCAGGTGTCAAACACCTACTCTATTATCAGATGCTGTCCTGGGATACAGTGATGAACAAGACCCAGCCTCTGCATCAGGGAGCTACTTACCTAGAAAGGAGTGGAATTGTACCCAGAAAGCACTAAGCAGAGCATCTGTGATGAAAGTAGAAGTCCCTGTCTGTGTTTAGCATTGTCACTCTGTCACTTGCTCTCAAGGAGTTCCTGATCATTGCTTTTGTTATAAATGATATAAAGTGCTATTGTATGGTCATGCCCTTGAGGTTCACTGAGTAAGCGGGGCTCTGTACCCTTCAACTGATTGGCCCCAGAATGCTGTACTTTTATCATTCTTCTGTCTCTGCCCTCCGCTGTTTGCTCCTTTTCTCTCTTTGGTGCGTCTTTCTCCAGTATAGATACCTCCTGTATCCCTTCTAGAAAGAGCTGAGGATTCCAAGGAAACTGGCTTCCTAAAATGGTTAAAGAAGCAACCTCATTTTTTATCCTTCTCTGTTAGGCCAGATGGCAGCTCCAAAGATAAAAGATTGTCCTGTTTCAATTCATTATTTATCATCTACTACACTAATAATAGCTCTGAACATTCTTACAGCATGGTTTACTAAGAATTTTGCAGATAACCACATCTGTTCCTCACAGTAGCCCTGTAAAGTACCCTCCTCTGAATTCCTACAGCATCCTGTGCTTCCCTTTATCATCATGCTTAACATATTGGATGGTTATTGCTTGTTTCCTGTATCTCACTGCTTCTCTATACTGGGAGAATAGAGCATAAGTTGAAGGCTCATTGACACCCCAGTACCCCCACCGAGCCTGGCTCAGAATGAGCCTCTGAAAAATGTGTTGGTTGCACAGATGGGTGTTTAACTCTGACTTCTGGATACCAGGGATAGTGGGGTGCCCCAGGAGATACCAGAGAGTAAGTGCAGCCTTACCCGGAGGCACTCAGTAGTTAGAGCAGTTGCAGTCCAGGGCAGCAAGCACAGCAGCCAAGGTGCTAGTCCAGTGCTTAGAGAACCGAGAGGAGGGAGCAGCTGACTGCCGGGGCTAGAGGGAAACAGGGCTCAAAGGCCTCCTGAAGGAGGTGAGAACTGAGAGTGCTGAGGCCTGCTCAGGCTCACAGCTTCGTGACTGTGTCCTTCCCTTCCCTTCCCAGGGCCGACTGACAGATGGAAAAGGGAAGACCATTGATTGCAAGGACGCCATCTTCATCATGACCTCCAATGTGGCCAGCGATGAGATCGCACAGCACGCGCTTCAACTGAGGCAGGAAGCTTTGGAGATGAGCCGTAACCGTATTGCCGAAAACCTGGGTATGGTGGCTGACCTGAGCAGTCTGGGCCAGTGGCCAGGCCACCAGCCTATCTCCTGAGGAAGGATGGGATTGGGGCCATTGGCCCAGGTGCAGGTGCTGGTGGGCAGCTCTGTCCCTAGCTGACACTGAGCAGACACCAGGCAAGACACCAAGTAGTGGGGGTTGAGGGAGAAACAGACAAAAGAGACAGTGTCCCTATTTTAAGAAAGCCTAAGTCTGTTGGGTGATAAGAGGGATCCAGGCATGAATGGACAGAGCTACACCAGGGTGGGAGGCCAGAAGCTGCCTAGGGTCTTAGGGGACTGAGGAGATGCACATGCAATAGATAGAGATGCTTTGGTGCAAGGAGGGGACACCAGATCAAAAAATCTATGGCAGTGGACATAGCCTTGTTCACCCAGGTCAGCTTCCTGCGTAGGTGGGCCCTGGAGAGTGCTGAAAAAAATGAGCACATCCAGCAGGAAGCTGTGTCTGTCACCTTTTCCATTCAAGATTGAGCCCTGCAGGCCCCTTTCTCCAAGTCAGGACTCAAGTCTTAATCCTGACGCTTCCTCTACTCTCCTCTTCCTCCCTCACACAACTCTCACCCTAAGGAACCATAGGTTTTGTACATAGGAGAGCTGCAAGGGCCTCAGAAAGTGCCTGGTCAGAGAAGACCAGGCTGAATCCCAGAGAGCCTGAGACCCTGGCCATGACCACACAGGCAGGCAGGACCAGGGTGCTTTCCATGGGCAGGCCAACGGGCAGGCACAGCCCCACAGGTCCCTGAGTGTGGGGAGTAAGCAGTTTATGATTCCATCTCCACAGGAGATGTCCAGATAAGTGACAAGATCACCATCTCAAAGAACTTCAAGGAGAATGTGATTCGCCCTATCCTGAAAGTAAGAGGTCTTTCTTGGTGCGTCCCTGCTGGAGCCTAAGGTTGGGGGAGGGTGATCTTAGCCATCCTAAAGATCTGGAAGTCCCATAATTTCCCCAGTCTTCCCCCTGGTGTCTGGTAATTTTCCTAACCCCTCTGGATCACTGAGCTCATCCTACCCCTAACCTGGTCATGCAGGCTCACTTCCGGAGGGATGAGTTTCTGGGACGGATCAATGAGATCGTCTACTTCCTCCCCTTCTGCCACTCAGAGCTCATCCAACTCGTCAACAAGGAACTAAACTTCTGGGCCAAGAGAGTAAGAGGGGACTACCCATGGGTGGGGGCAGGATAGCCACTGGAAATCTGCAGCACTGGACTGGGGTCACCCACATACACACACAGGGTAGAGCACAGTGGCATGGGGCCAGTGGCCCTGGCCTCAGGTCAGAGTGGCAAGAGATGGAAAGCAGTGGGCCACATGCAGGCACGCTTTTATCTGACCCATCTCAGGCCAAGCAAAGACACAACATCACGCTGCTCTGGGACCGTGAGGTGGCAGACGTGCTGGTCGACGGCTACAACGTGCACTATGGCGCCCGCTCCATCAAACACGAGGTGAGCACAGGAGCCTGAGAAATGAGGCGCCTCCACACCCTCCTTCCCTGGGCCCCCCAGACCCAGTCTGCCTCCCTCAGTTTGGTTGTTGGAATTATTCACACCCAGAGCGGTGCCCATTCGTAACCATAAACACACGACCACCAAGTAAAACCCCTGCTGGAGGGTAGCCAAATATGAACCCCCCTAGGACTATGGGATGGGGCTGGGAGCCTCAGAAACTGAGCACAGTCCTGCAAGCTAGCTGTTATTAGCACCGGTTGGCAAATGAGAAAGCTGAGTCTCAACCCAAAGGAGGTCTCTGAGTTGCCCTATCAGTAAGTGATGGAGGCCAGCCTCCAGGCTGGGTCCAGGCTGCAGCGGTGACCACCACTTCACCTCCCCACCCACAGGTAGAGCGCCGTGTGGTGAACCAGCTGGCAGCAGCCTATGAGCAGGACCTGCTACCAGGGGGCTGCACTCTGCGCATCACAGTGGAGGACTCAGACAAGCAGCTGCTCAAGAGCCCAGAACTGCCCTCACCCCAGGCTGAGAAGCGCCTCCCCAAGCTGCGGCTGGAGATCATCGACAAGGACAGCAAGACTCGAAAACTGGACATCCGGGCACCACTGCACCCTGAAAAGGTGTGCAACATCATCTAGCAGCCACCTGCCTGCCTATATGCACCCTCACCATCCAATAAAAGCCCCTCGGCTGTGGCACGGTGACTCACCTATCTTCCCCTCATGCCTTTCCCGTCTCTACCCAGCCTAAGGCCTGCTTACCTCCTCACAGCCCCTGAAGACCCCACCTCAGCCCCAAAACCTGAAGGAGGAATTTTGCCCTACTCTGGCCCCTTTGTTGTGGGCCCATAACCTGCTAACGAGCCTTCAGGAGAGGAGCTGCCTTTCCACCCCTTCAAGGCAAGGGGGAGGGAGGTCCCTTATTTCCTTCAGAATGATCCCCATCCCCCATAGTTGCTGGACTTTCTTATGTTCCCAGGAAGCTCAGAAGTATGGCAGCTAATAACACAGCTGGCTGGAAGAAGACAGGGACCAGACTGTGAACTGCCACCCTCTGCCAGCCCTCATGCAACTCAGTCCCCAGAATGGCTTCACTGGTAGTGGGGGAAGAGTTCGGAGGCCCAGGTGCAGATGGGTCTGCAATTTAGTCTGTAGCCTCCTCGTTCCATACCCTAAAATTCTAAGAGAAGGGACCCATAGAACCTTGCCTGTTTCCATTACTGTATTATGCCCACTGTTCCTCCCCACCCCATGTCCTGGGGTCAGGCCAGACCATGTTTCTTCAGCCTTGGGGACTAGGCCAGTGTTGGACACCTCTAGGAGGAGGCCTGACTGGTTCATTACCCTCCCCTACTCGAACGGAGCAGCAGTCCCAGATAAGCAAGCAAGCTCAGCTCTGTGGGGACTCCTTCAAAAGACTAACATCACAGACATTAGGAAGCTGTAGGGAGAGAGATCATAGGTTTGACCTCTGCCCACGTGGCCATACAGTTGGCCTCAGCCCTGTCTGTACAGCTTTTCTAAATGAACCTGGAATAAATATGCAGTTTATTCAGTCTGCATGTTAGTCACTAAGCAGAGGGTCTGGACACCATCCCCCAAGGGCATTTCACAGACCAGCCAATGTTTCAAGCCCACCTTAGCCAGGCACAGCAAGGTTTGGTGCATCCTTGGGCACCATCTGCAGTAGCCACCGCTGATAAACACTCCATCCACCTTCCCGCTGCAGGCCCTTTGTGGAACCCTCAGGTAGTGTCCTTAGCTAGTCTCTTACAAGAAGCAGAGAATGGGGCCAGGAGTCAAAGTCTCATGGATAATGGAAGCATGTCCTAATAGTATGATGGATATGAGGCAGTCAGAATCTAGGGTGTGGGCTCCAGAAGATGTTTGGATCACTGTCTACCCCACAGGGGCTGTTGCTCCCTACCTCAGTGACTGCTTTTCTTTTCATTGTTTTTTACTTTTTGTTTAGAAATAATTTTAGACTTACAGAAAGTACCAGAAATAGTAGAAAATTCCCATGTACTTTTCATCTAGCTTCTCCCAGTGATAACCTCTTACAAAGCCATACTGTAGTTTATCGAAACCAGGAAATTGCCATGTGTGATGGCTTATGCCTGTAATCCCAGCACTTTAGGAGGCCAAGGCCAGTGGATCACCTGATATCAGGAGTTTGAGACCAGCTTGGCCAACATGGTGAAACCCGTCTCTACTAAAAATACAAAAATTAGCTGGGCATGGTGGCAGGCGCCTGTAATATCAGCTACTTGGGAGGCTAAGGCAGGAGAATCACTTGAACCTGGGATTGGAGATTGCAGTGAGCTAGATCACGCCACTGCACTCCAGCCTGGGTGACAGAGTGAGACTTCTCAAGAAACAAAACCAGGAAGTTAACATTGATAAACTACTACTAACTAACCTATGGACATTCAAATTTTGCCAGTTTTCCCCTTGATGTCCTTTTTCTTGTCCAGGATCCTGCATTGCATTTTGTTGTTGTGTTTCCTTCATCTGTCAGCCTGTGACAGTTTCTCCATTTTTCTTTGTCTTTCATCACCTTGCCACTTTGGAAGAGTCGAGGCCAGTTATTTCATAGAATATTCCCAATTTTAGTTTGTCTAATGTTTTTACATGATGTGATTGAGGGTCTGCATTTTTGGCAAGACAACCGCAGAAGTGATATTGTGCCCTTTTTAGTGCCTCCTAGCGAAGGGTGGTGGTAACTTTTTATTTGTTTTGGGGTTTTGAGACGGAATCCCACTCTTTTGCCCAAGCTGGAGTGCAGTGGTGCAATCTCAGCTCACTGCAACCTCCACCTCCCGGATTCAAGTGATTCTCCTGCCTCAGCCTGCTAAGTAGCTGGGATTACAGGCGCCCACCACCACACCCGGCTAATTTTTGTATTTTTAATAGAGACAGGCTTTAGCCATGTTGGCCAGGCTGGTCTCTACTCCTGACCTCAGGTGATCCACCCACCTTTGCCTCCCAAAGTGCTGGGATTACAGATGTGAGCCACCATGCGCAGCCTAGGTGGTGGTAATTTTGATCACATGGCTAAGGTGGTATGTGCCAGGTTTCTCCACTGTAAAATTAGGAATTTTCTCTTTGAAATTAATAAGAATCTTCTGGGGAGACACTTTGAAGCTGTGTGAATGTCTCATTTAGCCTTAAAATTTTGCCTGCTGATTTTCGTTTTGGTTATCAATGATTCTTGCTTATAACAGATATTGATGTTGTGCTTGCCTAATGGTGACTTTATTTCCTTATTTTACCTGTATTTATTAATTGGTATTCGACTATAAAGAAGAGCTGTCCCTTCTCCTCATTTATTTATTTGACAGTTTATATCAGTATGAATGAATGGTATCTGTTTTATTCTACAGGTTATAATCTAATGCTAACATAGTTTATTTTGTTGCTCAAATCGGCTCAGATTTGGCCAGTGAGACCTCATTCAGTAATGAGTACTCATTGGCACATGTGTTGTTTCAGCATTGCCCCTGTCACTTTTTAAGCATTTTCTGGCACCACAAGATGTTTCAGGCTTACTCCTGTTTTCCCTATCTCAGCCCTGACATCTGTCATTTCTCTAAGAAGCTCCCAGTTCCTTTTATTCGAGAAAAAAGGAACTTAGAAACCAAGTAGTTTCTTGGTACCACTTGAAACAAAGTCTGGACACAGTATATATTCCTGGCTAGAGTCTCATTGCCCAAATGTCATTGCTTATAGACCGCCTCAACCCACAGAGCTGGAAAACATATGTATGTATGTTAAAACATGCAAATACACACACTTGAATTTATTATTCTGTCTGTCCATCTGTATATTATTAAAAACCATGAGCCAGGTATGGTGGCTCATGACTATAATCTCAGCATTTTGGGAGGCCAAGGTGGGAGGATCACTTGAGCCCAGGAGTTCAAGACCAGCCTGGGCATCATTCCAAGACCTCATCCTCCAAAAATTTGAAAAAAAAAAAAAAAAATTAACCAGGCATGGTGGCACATTTCTGTAGTCCTAGCTACTTAGGAGGCTTAGGCAGGAGGATCGTTTGAGTTCAGGATGTCAAGGCTGTAATGAACTGTGATTGTACCACTGCAAGACCCTGTCTCATATTTTTAAAAATAAATAAAAATCAGCCGGGCGCTGTGGCTCATGCCTGTAATCCTAGCATTTTAGAAGACCAAGGTGGGTGGATCACCTGAGGTCAGGAGTTCAAGAGCAGCCTGGCCATCATGGTGAAACCCCATCTTTAAAAAAAATTAAATTAAAAAATAATAAATAAAAATCATGAGTTTAGATATGTTTTTAATCCAGTACTCTAGGGTTTGTGACTGCCATTTTTATAACCTTACTATTCTTTTCTGCTTTTTCTCCTGCTATCTCTGTTTCTGCTACTTTCTTTCTTTTTGATATTTAGACTTCCCATAGAGGCTCTAGTTAAGTCAGCCAGTGACCATCCTGTGTGCAGTATTCCTACTAGATAGATGTCTTACGCCTGGCTCTCAGTCTGTTGGTTCAGTTAACTGTGGCCAGGAACACTAGGCAGATAACTCAAAATCAGATGACTTTTTTTTTCTTTTTTTTAATTATCTTATTTTTTTTTTTAATTCTTTTTTTTTCCTCTTTAATCAGATCACTTTTATGCAAGAAAACCAAATAGCCACCTTCTTGAGAACAGAATAAGGAGACTCTAGAACCTTAGTCTAAGGAACCTAATTAAGAACCACTTCTTTCAGAGATTCTCTGCCAGACCTCCTAGGTGGTGATGGCCCATATCTTTTCCACGGCATCCTAGGCAATGCTCAGCTCACTGTGCTACCTGTTCTAAGTCTTCATCACTAGAATGTAAGCTCGAAGAGGGCGGATACCCAACTGTTCAGCCATTCATAGAACCTACCACAGTGCTCGCACATGACAAATGCTCCAGGAATATTTGGGTGTGTGGATGGGATCTGCAGCAAGCGCAGATCTCAGTTGGCCCTGGAACAGAAAAGTATTGTTCATTTGCTCAGCATGTTTTTATCTGTCATGTCATTGTGGCCAGGCAATGGGACCCACCAGGATTGGAGCTCTGAGAAAATGCAGCAAGGTAAGACCCAGATTTCTTTCTTTTTTTTTTTTAAAACAGAGTCTTGTTCTGTTACCTATGCTGGAGTGTGGTTGTGCCATGTCGGCTCACTGCAACTTCCACCTCTGGCTCCAGTGGTTCTCATGCCTTGGCCTCCTGAGTAGCTGGGACTACTGGCATGCGCCACCACTCCCACCTAATTTTTGTTGTTGTTGTTGTACTTTTAGTAGAGATGGGGTTTTACCATGTTTGCCAACCTAGTCCCAAATTCCTGGTCTCAAGTGATCCACCTGCCTTGGCCTCCCAAAATGCCAAGATTATAGGCATGAACCACTGCACACAGCCCCAGATTCCTTATTAAAGATCCTAGAATATATGAGACCAGACTTGGAAATGAAAGTGCAACACATTTATTATCCAAAAGGAAAAACTCAAAGGTGTGTAGTGATTTTTAAATTTAGGGAAATTCCTCAGTATAGTAAAAGAAGAAAAGGAAATATAGGAAAAAAACACATTTAAACCATTAAAAAAAAAAAAAAAGAAAGAAAATGAACCAATAAAGATAAAAGCTAAAGTTAACACAGTAGAAAAAAAAGAATAAATTAAAAAGCAATTCTTCGAAAGCACCAATAAAATAGATAAAACATCCTGAGCCTGGTAAAAGGTAAAAGGAGCCAAAAAAGAACAAAATTAGGAATGAGAAGTTAGACATAACCACATAAAGGAATTGAGAATAATAGTAGAACTCTATGGAAACAAATCTGAAATCAGAGCAAATGGATAATTTCCCAGCAAACACTGATCCTAGACATAGTTTTAATAGGCCAATGGATTACCCAAGAAGCAATTGGAAAGGTGATTAAAATTTTACCCTTTTTCAGCACTGTAAGACAGGGTGAAAAATACATAAAATTTTATCCTTGAAAAGATTGTTGGCCAGGTGTTGTGGCTCACACCTGTAATCCTAACACTTTGGGAGGCCAAGGTGGGCAGATCACTTGAGCCCAGGAGTTTGAGACCAGCCTGGGCAACATGGCAAGACCCCACATCTACTAAAAATAACCAAAATTATCCAGGTGTGGTGGTGCATGCCTGCAGTCACAGCTACTTGGGAGGCTGAGGTGGGGAAGACTGTTTAAGTCCAGGAAGCCCAGGTTGCAGCAAACGAAGATTGCACCACTGCACTCCAGCCTGGGTGACAGAGTGAGACCCTGTCCCAAAAACAAAAAATAAAAGTTCATGTTTTTAATTTAAAAACATATGGGAAATTGTACAGATCACAAGTATGCAGCTCAGTGAATGATTACAAAGTAAACACACTCCTGTAGCTATCACTCAACCCCCAAAATAGATGAGTTGTAACTATTATCTAAGCTGCCATTGTACTCAAACCCAGTAAAATGCCAGAAAGAATGCTACAGCCTAATCTCACCTATGACCACAGATGCAAAAATTCCAAATAAAATCAAGTTGAATTGTACACTCTGATTACATAAGCTTTATTTTAGTAATACAAGGCTCAGTGTCAGGAAATTTATTAATTTATTACATCAAGAACTTAAATGTTATTTAAATGTCTAAAGTGATAGTATTTTAAATTTTCTTATTTTGATAATTATGATTATGGAAGAGAACGTCCTTGTTTTTAGAAAATATAAGTATTTAGAAGTTAAAGGTAAACCTCTAATTTGATTTGCCAGTATTTCAGAAACCTACATACATACATACACACACACACACACACGGAATGATAAAGCAAAAAGTAAGGTGTTGGCCGGGCGCAGTGGCTCACAGCTGTAATTCCAACACTTTGGGAGGCCTAGGCAAGTATGTCACCTAGGTCAAGAGTTTGAGACCAGCCTGGCTAACATAGTGAAACCCCTCTTTACTAAAAATACAAAAATTAGCGAGGCATGGTGGCACATGCCTATAATCCCAGCTATTTGGGAAGCTGAGGCACAAGAATTCCTTGAACCTTGAGACAGAGGTTACAGTAAGCCTACATCACGCCACTGCACCCAGCCTGGGTGACAGAGGGAGACTGTCTCAGAAACAAATGAGCAAATGTTAACATTTGGGAAATCTGAGGGAAGAATGTACATGAATTCTTTGTATTATTTTTGTGACTTTTCTGTAAGTTTAAAGTTATTTCAGGCCAGGCATGATAGTGCATGCCTGTATTCCCAGGTACCTGAGGCTGAGGTGGAAAGATTAAGAGTTTGAGGTTATAGTGAGCTATGATCATGCCACTGCATTCCAGGCTGCCACCCTATCTCCAAAAAAAAAGGTGCAGTAGCTCACACCTGTAATCCCAACACTGAGGGGCCAAGCCAGGTGGATCGGTTGAGCCCAGGAATTCAAGACCAGCCTGAGAAACATGGTGAAACCCCATCTCAGCAAAAAATTAGCTGGATGTGGTGGCATGCACCTGGAGCTACTCTGGAGGCTGAGGTGGGAATCTCACTTGAACTCAGGAGGCAGAGATTGCTGTGAGATGAGATCATGCCACTGCACTCCAGCCGGAGCAACAGAGTGAGACCCTGTCTAAAAATGAGGGGGTGGGGGTAGGCTATAGTAAAAGCCCATTAGCATTAATAAGAAAATTGGGTATCTGAATAAAAGATAACTACACAAAAATCAATTGTTTTTCTGTATTCTAGCAATAATCAACTAGAAACAGTAATAAAAGAAAAACATTTCATTTACAATTGCAGCAAGTAGGTACATGTATTTGCTCATATATACATAACCTACTTCTGTAAGGGAGCAGAACTGGCAATTCAGGGAGAGCAATGGAAGGGAAACATTGCTATGTTATTTTAAATACTTTTCAGTATGTTTTGAACCATATTAATCTATTACCTGTTCAAAATAAATTTAATAAATTTAACAAAACCATAATTTAAACCAAATTTAACAAGAAAACCATATTGTATTACCTGTTCATAATAAATTTAACAAGAAAACCATATTGATAAAAATAAGACCTGACAAATGAAAAAACATACCAAATTTTAGAAAGGGCGATTTAATAATAAAATATACAACAATCTTAAGATATAATTTAATACAAACCTGATAACTAATTTAATACAAATCTAATTGACAGCACTTTTAATTGAATAAAGTTAAGGTCATATTGCACTACTATGTCCAGAGGTGATGATAAATGGAGCTGCTATTTTCTGGGACTAGGCTCTCAGGAAACAGACATTACTACTTTTGCAATCCCATCTTGACAGTATGCAAAGATTAGGGAAAATGTAAATTTACCATTAACACACACCCTAAATGCAATTTAGGGTGTAGGAAGGAAAAAGAAGGGTTATTGCCTGTGGCTGGAATATGAGTTGGAGAAGAGAGGAAATTGGTAGAAAATGAAGCTACAGAGGCAAGGTTCCTGATTTCAAAGCGCCTTGAATGCCATGCTAAGGGAACGAAATGATCAGATTTGTGGTTGTTTTGTTTTTGTTTTTGTTGTACTTTTAAGTTCTGGGGTACATGTGCAGAACATGCAGGTTTGTTACATAGGTATACACGTGCCATGGTGGTTTGCTGCACCCATCACCCCATCATCTACATTAGGTATTTCTCCTAATGCTGTCCCTGTCCTATCCCCCCACCCCCTGCTATCCCTCCCCCGGCCCCGACTCCGGAACAGGCCCTGGTGTGTGATGTTCCCTTCCCTGTGTCCATGTGTTCTCATTGTTCAACACCCACTTATGAGTGAGAACTTGCGGTGTTTGGTTTTTTGTTCTCGTGTCCGTTTGCTGAGAATGATGGTTTATTTCCAGCTTTATCCATATCGCTGCATAGTATTCCATGGTATATATGTGCCACATTTTCTTTATCCAGTCTGTCATTCATGGGCATTTGGGCTGGTTCCAAGTCTTTGCTATTGTGAACAGTGCCGAAATAAACATATGTGTGCATGTGTCTTTATAATAGAACGATTTATAATCCTTTGGGTATATATCCAATAATGGGATTGCTGGGTCAAATGGTATTTCTAGTTCTAGATCCCTGAGGAATCGCCACACTGTCTTCCACAATGGTTGAACTAATTTACACTCCCACCAACAGTGTAAAAGCATTTCTGTTTCTCCACATCCTCTCCAGCATCTGTTATCTCCTGATTTTTTTTTTTTTTTTTTTCCTTGGGACGGAGTTTC